AGGATTAAAACATACCTTTATTCCAAGAGGAAAGCATTGGGTAGCTAAGGCACACACATGGAAAAATGTCATGCTGCGCAAATCAGCATCTCCTCTATGAGGAACGTTTAGCGCCTCCATGCAGAGCATGGAGATGCTGAATGTCAGTGCCACTGAGGGTGTACCTAGGCAGCAAAGTAAACATTACACTTTCTATGAAAAGACAGTGTTTACATTAAAAAGGCAGGGACACGCAGCTGACACTAGAACTACATTAAGTTGTAGTTGTTTTGGTAACTATAGTGTCCCTTCAAAAAAAAAAAAAAACACTAACCGGGTTATTCACTAAAGACTGCAAAATCCAGACATTGTTCTAATTTTTTATTGATTTCAGCCTGACCACAAACTGCGGGAAGGCTGAAATCCAGAGTGAATATATGAATGGGATACTTTAGGCACTATAACAACTTCATCTAAATAAATTGTTATGGTACCATGAAGCATCCAGATGCACTCTTACTTCAAGGGATTAAACCATTCTGGAAGGGTTTAACCGCAAATTTGCCTCCAGCTCCGATCTCAATTCCCCCAGGCAGTATCCAGCTTCTGAATTTTCAGTTTCAGGAAGCGCAGAGTGCCACCGGGCATGTACCTTTTTCAAGCCAGTTTTGTGAATGGGGAGTCACTGATTGGCTGAGAGCGTCAGCTGACCACTGCCTGAGGTTAGTTCAGGTTGGCGCTGGAGGCAACCTTGGAGTTAAACCTCCCGAGGCCTCTTGGCACCATAACAACTTCATGTATAAGTTATGGTGCCTGGAGTGTTCCTTTAAGTCTGGGCCCGAAGGCTTCAAACCCGGTCCAAGTTTAAAAAAAAAAAAAAAAAAAATCTGAACTATTTGCCTGCTGGCATCACAAGCAGCCAGCAGGCAAATAGTTAAAGAAAAATCTCTAAATTCTATGGCAGGTGGCCACCTGTTGCTAGCCAACCGCTACACTAAAAAGGTTAAAAAAATAAATAAAATAAAGACCCCTATATAACTATAATGGTAGTACTATGATGGTATTGTGCCTCTCTATACCCCCACCTGCATGTCCGCTAAATGTTTAAAAACAGGACTGGGCTGATAGAAAGGACGCTATCCGATGGGGATGGGGCCTATAAGATAACAGTCCTTCGTGTGCCCACACCAATGGGCATCTGTTGGGGGCTGTGCTAATTTTAATGGGGGAGGACCTACTGCCCACCGCCCTCCACTAATTGGCAAAGTATAGGTCCCTAGTACTAACAAAAGGAGGAGAACCTAGTGTCCCCCCAGCTCCCACCCATGTGTGATGGGGGGACTTGTGTCCCCCACAGGCCCACCCATGGGTGATCGGTTGGAGTCCTAATATTAATAATAAAGAGGGGACATCATGTCCTCACACCAATTCATAGGAAGCATTTGGGGCCCATAATTAATTTTAAATAGGGATATGCCATTATCCACCTTCTCATATAAACTTAAGTCCCTGCCTACACCTCCTCAAAAAAAGAAACATTTTTAAAAGCCAACTTGTTCTAATCTTTTTTGTTTTTCAGTATCAAAAAAGCCATATTAAAATCCAAAATAACGGATGCCATTAATTAAAATTTTAAAAAAGCCAGCAAGCCAATCAGTGCTTTTGGTCTTATTGTAAAACATGGGAAAAATTTTTAACACTTTGTGATAGCTGAGATAGCATGGAAAAGCCTTTTTAAGGGCTTTCCCCGCTATCGGCGCTCATTCTGTGGTGAGCCCTCCATGGGCGAAGGTTTTTTTCTTTTCTTTTTTTTTTTTGTGAGCAGGTTAATTTTCATTTTTTTAGGTCTGAAGAACCTAACCATTAGAGAAAGAAGACATCTGGTGGTAAATATATATACATATTTGTAACTTTTTTTTTTTAGATTTATTGGAACCTCTCACACTGTTATTAGGGTGAGGAGGATTAGGTAGGGACTTTCATTAATTTTTGGGTGGTGGCTAGGGGATTGTGAACTCCTACCCACCCAGGGGCAGCTATTATTTATACGGGTGAACAGTGGAATGTCCTGGGGGGAAAACTAGGTCGTACCACCTATTTTATTGATATTTGAACATCGACATGCCAACCATGGGTGAGGGCAGGACACTAGGTCCAACTCCTTTATTATTAATATTAGGGCACCCACCTTTTACTTTTGGGTGGGAGCCATGGGGGGGGGATGGCAGAGGACACTAGGTCCGCCCCATGAATATTATTTAAAGTAACCTCCATCCAATGCCCACGTGTGGGGGCACATGTAAGACTATTTCCCACCCTGGTTATTTCCCTATGTGATGGGGTCTTTTATAGTGACAGGGCAGAAATAGTTGCCAGTCATTAGTTTGAAACACATAGTAGACATGCCCCACATAGCGTATGGGGACATATGGAGGTAAAATACCGCTGGTATAGTAAATATTGACCCACAAAGGATTGTTTATTTACTTTTTTCCTGTGGTGGCTGACTAGCCAGCGCTGGCTAGCTGCCACATAATTAACCCTCATGCAGCCGAGTGTCTTTAACGATTTGTCCACTGGCTGCTACTGCTGAAAGCTTGATAGTTCTTCAAATTATAATTCACTTAACAACAAGTAAATGATCATTTTCAATTGCAAACTTGCATCCTACTGGATGCATTTTGGTTTATTTACAGCCGCCACGTGATCGCTGATAAACCTCCAACACCTGCACTTTAACCCCTTAAGGACCAAACTTCTGGAATAAAAGGGAATCATGACATGTCACACGTCATGTGTCCTTAAGGGTTTAAATTGATTCCGATGTAGATATTACGGATTTATTTTAATTTTTTTCTTCAAAACTCTTCTGAATGGATTTTACAGAAACGGTCAGGCGACTAAATGATGCCTGCGTTTGGCTTTAGTAAGTCTGTGAACGCAGTTGGAATTCGGTCATTTCCATTGGATTTTGTCCATAAGGACAAAGTCTGGTGTTTAGTGAATGACCTTGCGTGTTCTTAAAAGATATCTGGCCAAGATAATTTCTTCCCTGACCTCTCCTAAAATACAGTAAGCTCAGACTTAAAGGACCACTATAGTGCCAGGAAAACATACTCGTTTTCCTGGCACTATAGTGCCCTGAGGGTGCCCCCACCCTCAGGGACCCCCTCCCGCCCGGCTCTGGAAAGGGGAAAAGGGGTTAAACTTACCTTTTTCCAGCGCTGGGCGGAGAGCTCTCCTCCTCTGATCCGCCCCGTCGGATGAATGCGCACGCGCGGCAAGAGCTGCGCGCGCATTCAGCCAGTCACATAGGAAAGCATTCATAATGCTTTCCTATGGACGCTTGCGTGCTCTCACTGTGAAAATCACAGTGAGAAGCACGCAAGCGCCTCTAGTGGCTGTCAATGAGACAGCCACTAGAGGATTAGGGGGAAGGCTTAACCCATTCATAAACATAGCAGTTTCTGTGAAACTGCTATGTTTATGAAAAAATGGGTTAACCCCAGCTGGACCTGGCACCCAGACCACTTCATTAAGCTGAAGTGGTCTGGGTGCCTAGAGTGGTCCTTTAATATATCCAGCATTTTCATGGGAAACTAATAGTACATGTGAGTGGTGAAACCGCAGCACCAATCAAATTGGCCCCTAAACTACCAGAGGTGTAAATTGAAAATAAAATCCCAAGCTAAATCTCCCAAATTGCTTGTTGATTTTGTAGACCTATTTTTGTTTTTTACATTTTCAGTGGCTGTCTATTTTTAGGCGGGAGATAATGATTTAGATTCTTCACTTAATTTTACGGAATTGTCAAATGAACTTCAAAGTTTAGGCCAAAATGACTAGGCTTACGTACAAATATTTTGGAATACATTTATTAAAATCCATTCTCAAATCTCCATCATTTCCAATTTAGTAAAAAAAATAAATTGAAAAAAGGTTTTTTTTTTGTTTTTGTTTTTTCCACTAAACCTAAGCAAAACACTTGGCTATTTTTATTTTTTATTTTTTTTAGCCAAAATCTTGCCATTTGATTTTCAATTCACAATTTAATATTTAGTAAGTATACCCCCAAGAGTAAAATCATAATACCAACATTTAGACAATATCTGATCTGAAAAAAAAATTATATATATTTTTTTTCCCCCATTTTTTTTTTTATAGTAGCAGTAAGGCTATTTTAGCATTAAATTTCCTTTCAGATTTGAATTCACTACAATTGAAGAGACCTCTGTGTCAATCGAAGTGTATATGGGTGTCATCAGTCTGTAAATCAGTGAGAGCTAGCCTTGGCAATGCATAGAACTGTGATCTACATTCCCATGTTACTCACACTATCAGTGCCAATGTTAGCATCTGCTCCAGATTTTTTCTAGCTGTGAAAATGCTGTAATTTAACTACTTTGCCTGAATTAGCTAGTCTCCTTTAACCCTATCATTCCAAGATCTTGTGAATGCCTGACTCAAGTATTAAATAATCCTTATCTAACAATCTCCCAGACTAAACTACACAATCTCAATGTAACCCTGCCACATCAGGAGCACTTTGCCCAAACATTAAATAACCCATTAAAAACACTCCTTATCTAGCAATCTCTTATAGAAACTGCCCTATATTTTCAAGTTCCTCTACAAGAAAAAGTAATTCTTCTACATAACCTCTGCATTGAGCGTGATAGCAGACTCATCCCTATGCATACATAACAGGCAACCCCAGCAGGGGGTCTGTGCATTTAAAGGAAGATCCAAGAAGACCCCACTTTGAAAATGGTTCAATCTATTTTAATGATTGGTTCGCTTCCTAACTTCAAAGACAATCCCAGTGCACACTCCTGATTGGCTGTTGGGCAGCCGGAAAAAAAAAAGTTTGCACAGGGAAGGATCACACAGTGAATAGGAGCTTTGCATTGAGCTGGGGGAACAACTACTGGCTCTGTGTATCCACAATACCTACAGTCCAGGCTTCTCCCAATGACCATACAATGATCATGTAACCTGTTTCATTGACTGGAGGAAATCTCATGGCGTCTGCAGTCCTACACAGAGGGAAGATATTTCAAAACTATTTTAAGGTAAGTAACAAAAATGTCTGGATAATTACTCTGGTTAAAATCCGCATAGCTGTTCACAGATGATGGATTTTTGTTCATTTTTAAGTGTAATGCAAGCCCATCTCGGGCTCTCTATTTCTACATTTACAATGTGTTGTGTGCCCTGCTAAATCTCCTTTTTGTACAATTAACACTTGTTGCATGTCCTGCTGGGTTTCCCTTGACCATTACAATGTGCCACATACACAGCTAGGTCTTAAATCTCTACAAATATTCATCTTGCTTATAAGATATTTTACCAGGAAGGATACATTGAGTTTTTTTTATTTTTATTTTTTAAACCAAAATTTGCCTTAGAAATGAAAATGTGGTGTTGCAATTCAAATGGCACCATACAGGCTAAAACAACTCATCTGGAAAATTTATGCTATAGCCCCATATTAGGAATTTGAACCTGTATTTTCCATTTAAATTTCAGTTTTGTACAATTCATTAATCAGTCTATTTACTTCCTTTATGCAGTTCCCTAATATAAAAAATAAACCAAAAACCGCTCGAGATCACTAGCTTTTTGTGACAAATGTTTGTGTCAAAGGCACATAAATAATATCTTGCGCTAAAAGGATAGTGTAAATTCGGAGTCAGCACCAGGACATTTATTTTATGCTTCTCAACAGAAGCCAATAAACGTAAATCACAACTGATGCCTAGGAAAGTGGCTCCTATCAATCATGGGCAGACCTGGTTATGTATGTCCTAGTAGAAATCATGAGTGAGTGTGTGTCGATTATGAATGTAGCATTTTATGGCATCAGGAATTGCAGGGGAAAATCTCTCTGGCATCCCAGCTGTTCAATAAAAATATTTTACTTAAAAAAAAAAAAAAAATGTCTAATAACAAGATATATATTTGTGATGTGTGTCTTTGGGGACAAAATGTTATTGAATGGTTTAATATGCATCCATATGCCACCCTTACCTTTTGCTTTTTGGTTTATAATGTTTCCAGAATTCCCCATGTTCCATAATACACGCTTCACGGTTTCGTGTGTGTGTAAAAATATTTATATACACTCATTAACTTCATATATTAAGTCAGACTTTGAGAAATTTTGCCAGGATATGAATTAAAATAAGTAGCTGAAGCACAATAGTAAATTTATATCAATATGAAGTTTTATGTTTTTGCGCTCACCACAGTTGTAACACACATTGGCACACACTGTGTTTGTTTGATACTTCACACAATGCAATAAAATAGTATATTTCATGGTATCACAAACCCTGCTAGGATTCATATACTTTATGGCCTGCCTAAGATTAATGGGAGTCGGCCAATTGAGGGCTACTGATGACATGAATAAACCCATAAATAATTTATGGTGCCTGCAAAAGCCCTTGGTGGCATTGTTTAAACACAACACATGCTTTACTACAATGTGCTGTTTAAATAATACCATAAGTAATGCCTGGTAAGATTGCAAAATAGCTATGGTCATCATTCGTATATAATCGTTCATTGCCAGCGGACCAGTAAAATATTGCACTGTATCACTCATTTGGCTCCAAGACGTATATTTAGTCAATTGGTTTCACACTTATTTCACGGTTATATACCACTTACAAGTAGTGACTGGAGCAAGGCAATAAATAACGTGTTTTTTGCTTCCATCTCTCTGTGTCTGTGTTTTGAGCAGCAAGAGAGAAAACAAGCAAGCAAAACAAAAGATAATGTGTTGTACAATTAAACTGAAATGTAAATTTTTTTTATTTATTTTTTTACATTTTTATTTTTTTTATCCATTTGAATTTGTAATCCATGCATTAACTCAGAATATAAACTGATACGTGACTACTAATGTTAGTAGTCATAGGGCTAGCAAAACAATGTTGTGTTTTACTTTTCTATCAGGCGGGATCTAAACAATAGTGTAGTGCCATTGCCAGGCCATTGTATAGCTGCTACAACTTTTCATCTTTTATCATTGAAATGCGGTGAATACCTGCTTAAGAATACTGGAATTTCAATAACAGTTGGCTTTCTATCTCTACAAAGTATGGGCTGCTATTTGTGGGGGAAGTAGCCATTAACATGAATGCAGATTGTTAGCATTATAACAGGTATGTTTGTTTGACTTTACACAAATCTAAATTCTGCTGATTTTATGCTATATGCTTAGTAAGTTATTTTGCTTGTCTTATTTTAGGATACAAGCCCCAGGTCATCTCCAGACCGAGGATCATTTACAACCCTCATTTCTGTAGACTCTTGGCCTTCTACTCCATCCAGACCAAACCAGCAAGAGTACTCCTATCTCTCATCTGACACTGCTGAAGAATCTGCTGCCATGTTTCAGCTCTGGAGCAATGAGATAGCTGCAAACCCAGGCATGGGTTCTCACAATGTGACATTTGGAGTTCCTAAAGTGCAATATTCTGGCCACATGCAAGCTATAGGTTCCAATGAGCTCCCACTAACTCCTCCAGCGGATCCAACTGTTTATTCTTTTGATTTGTCCCCCGTTAAGGTGCTGGCTCCACAGATGGGGTCTAATACTGCATACCATTTTCAGGACCCAAATACTGTGGCTCAGGAATTCTCAGGGTTTATGCAAGGTCCAGCAACCTTTACACAAAGGCACTTGACCTCTGCACACATGGAAGACCAGACATGGTGGAGTTTACAGCAGGCAAATCCTAATAACATTCATTCCTTCCATTTGGCAAGTCCATTGGTCGTAGGGCCACAACCCCAGCTTGCAGCACTTCTCCAGAGCACCTCGAAAACACTACTAGGACCAACCAGGCGCTGTAGAAGATGTAAGTGCCCAAATTGCCAGGATGGCTCTAACCATGAAGAACCTGGGCAAAAGAAGCTTCATGTTTGCCATCTTCCTGGCTGTGGGAAGGTCTATGGAAAGACCTCTCACCTGAAAGCCCACTTGCGTTGGCATGCTGGGGAGAGACCTTTTGTTTGCAACTGGGTTTTCTGTGGAAAGAGTTTCACCAGGTCTGATGAATTACAAAGGCATCTACGAACGCATACAGGAGAGAAGCGTTTTGGCTGCCAAGAATGTGGGAAGAGGTTTATGAGGAGTGACCACCTTTCAAAACATACCAAAACTCACCAGAACAAAAAACTGAAATGTCCAGCACCTTCCCTAGAAAACATTAAACAAGAGTAAACTTGCTTCAAAATATACACTTCAAACCTTGACTTTTCAAGCAGAGCTAAACTCTAATGAACACTTTAATTTGGTTATTTATAAAATATAATAAGTTGGGACATTAACTTGCTTTCTGAATTTGGAGGAAATCATATTATCAATAAGTGTCCTGCCCCGCTCCATCATTGTCAGTAGTTAACTCACACAGAACATCTGCTCGATGCTGGCTGCAATCGAGGTGGGAAGCAGTACCCAGCAGATCCCTTGTAAGAAGGCAAACTACTCTAAAACATATTGACTACTTATAATGGGGGGTGCCAGGGTACTATGAGCACCATAGTTACTACAGCACACTGTAGTGTTTATGGTGCTTAGTGTTAATCTAAGTAAATTTCACAAAGGACTGCATGTTCTTCGTGATACATACATATACTTATGCAATGCTTAATGTGCTGAACTTGAGTGTTTTGTGATGGGGAAATGATGGGCAGGTGCAATATTGAGTTACAATTGTATGCACATTCCAACCTCTCTGACAAAATTAAAGTAATATCACATTGGGAGTAGGAGGCATGAAGAAAATATTTATATATTTTTTTAATTTTTTATTTCTCCTTATTTAAAAAAAAAAAAAAAAAACAATCAGGAATATCAGGGGAGCAAATGCCACATAAGCTTTTAAGAGGGTACAAAGTGGGCATAACATGAATGTTTGCAGCCATATCGTTCATATAAAGAACATTGCCAAACCCGTCTGTGCATTTGCAGACTAGTCTAAAGTTTTTGTTCATGTCAATTGTCTATAACGTCTTTACACAAGCCAGACAACAGCAGAATAACCTTGGATGTTACAGCTCCCCCAAATTTGGATAATACCATTCCATATAAACTATAGATTTTTATATGAAATAACTAGTATGGCCAGGGTACCCCTGAAACATCGAAACATTCTAACCAGTAACTAAAATTAGTTCCTATGGTAGAAGATTTTTAAAGTAACCTTGCTTCTGGACTGTGGAAGCAAAGAATATCAAAATGAACACAGCTGTTCTAGCCCAAGGTATTCCAATTTTTGTCTGATTTAATCTTAATCGGTTTATTAATTTGTAATCTGTTGTACCCCAAAAAGCTCAATCTATTTTTATTGGTGAACACCAAACAATTTTAACGTATTCGGCATCCATTATTATATATTCCTGTGTAGATGACTGTATACAAACAAATCCGTCAACCATGAATGATAACAGAACAATGCTTTCCTATATCAACTTCATGCCCTCTCAACACAGACTGTTCGTTCAGGCCTGCCCAATATATTTTTCTCTTATATAATATTCCCTACCACAAAAGGTAGACTCCAGCTAATTTAGAACTTGCATCTTGATTTGCTAGCTTCCATAAGGATAGCAAAGCGTCGCAGGGGTTGGGATTCCAAACTCACCTGAAGATTAACTTTTTTTTTTGGACACCTTTGCCCTATAAATCAAGTTCAAATTTTGTTGCACTCTAGTTGATGACAACTCCCCGTTGAATGAATAAACTCCCAGGTTAATGTGTACATTGCTGATTTGATGTGATGGCATTTTTCTTTGTAAATCACTACATCATTAAATACACAAGGTTGTGTTGGTTTGTACATAAAAAAAAAAAAAGTAGCTGTACATGTGAAAAATAAAAAAGAAATGAAAACATATGGTCCTCCGTACCACACACATCACACACACACAATGTCAAAATGCTCTTAGTGGAATACCTTGGGGAGTCTAATTTGTATAAGTATATACTTTTCATGTAGGGGTTTTAGATTCAGTGAGTGCTATAAAAGTATTCAACGAACCATGTTTAGCTTTAAAAACATGAGCCAATTTAACAATCTTTAACACATGAATCTATTGTAGTTGCAAAAAAAAAAAAGTCCTTTTTATTTTATTTTTTTCTTCTAACTTTAAGTATTTATCTGTAATGATGTGATATGCATACATATAGGGTATCAGAAGAAATATGTATCTTGTAAAAAAAATTCTAACCTGTATGGATAAAGATGGAAGGTACAGCCAGATTATCTCATACGAAAATTGCATACAAGTTGATTTTTTTTTTTTTCTTCTTCTCCCAGGGCTATTTACTAAAATGAGCACTGTGAGGAATTCTGCTCGAGTAACTGGCAGGTCAGGTTGCCAAGCAATCTTCCAAGGCTGTTCCATTTAAGGACAGACCCTGCAGGGAGCCCTGTTTCACTGCTCCATGCAGGGTACTAGTGCCCTGAGTGTAGCGTGAGTGTGTCTTATACTTACACTATGCTTGCTGTGGTGTCCTGAAAATCTAATATTGAGTGTTGAGATAATTAACACTGCACTGATGTTTTTGGTTTTCCTCTTTCAATTTACTATTTCATTTGCCCCTTTGAAGGGGAGGAGCCATGCCACCATTGATCATCTGTCGCAGCATGCTGTGCACACAGATTTAACATTGGCCAGCCCGGAACGCTAGTGATGCTGCTGGAGGAGGAGTTACACCTCTGGCAACAAAGTCCTTTTCAAAAAAATCACTGCACATACACCAGGCACAATGACCACTTAAAATTCATTTAAATTCTTAATAACTCTTAGTAATCAGCCCTTATAGAGTAGGAGAACAAGGGTAGGTACAAACCTATTCCAAGGGTTAATCCAGGCATCCCGACCACTTGACTGATTTGAACTGGCTATGGTGGCTGGAGGCTGTATATGCAGTGTTTTGTGCATATGGTGTTTACCCCCTCCAGCTGTGTCAGTGGGGGCATTATAAGTCAACCTTTAGTTCCAGGTGACTGATGTGAATCCTGTGCAAATCTAGCATCTGATGCTACCCACCCTCCATGCCGCCCATGTCCTCCCCCCAGACTGCCTTTCCTGGCTTCCTCCCTTCAGTCAGTCATGGAGGATTGGGTTGCATAGAGAACTTGGCCTTGGCACAGAATTGAGGTGAATGAATTTTGGCTTTATTTCCTTTTTTTGTGGAGGGTGGTTGGGCAGACCAGCACATCAAGGGTTACTCTACTAGTTTTTGTTTAGAGAAAGTCTTTAATAATACCAATCTTGATACCAGTTTCGAATTAAGCTAGTCATAGTGGGTGTAAAATCCAGAATTTTTTAAAAAGTGCAAAATAAGACAATAAGGCAAAATGTTAATCTTTACACACAACCTTACCTGTTCAGGAGAGCCAAAAGGTAACCCTTGAAATAGTCCACTAGTTCTTAATCATTAGGTTGGGAGCACAACTTGGTCCAGGTCATCCTATTCATCAGGACCCAGACCATGGCACACCGTATAGTACAGGCTTCCCCAAACTCAGGCCCTCCAGATGTTGCTGAACTACAACTCCCATGATTCTATGAATGGAATAGATAGGCTGAGAATCATGGGAGTTGTAGTTCAGCAACATCCGGAAGGCCGGAGTTTGCGGAAGCCTGGTATAGTATCTCACTTACTGTAGCAGGATTGCAGTGAATGCTCCATTCACATAGGGCAGTGGTTTCCAACCCAGTCCTCAAGTACCCCCTTACAGTCCATGATTTAGGGATTACCCAGTTGTGTCTAAGGTTTTTTTAGAAAGAGAATAAAAAAAACTCTTTAGACACAATAGGTTATTCTCTAAATGCAGGTCTGGTAGGGGGTACTTGGCGACTGGGTTGGGAACCACTGCCATAGTGGAATTGTCTCATTAAAATGTTAATCCAACTTGCATGACCACTTCTGTTTTTAGAAGTGGTCATGAAGCAAGGAATATGTATGTGCAGCATTTTTGCGTGAAATGCATCACGTACAGAGATATTTGCAGTTTTGTGCCACGGACTAGTTGCACCACTAGTTGGAACTCTGTTCCAGGCTGCCTAAAGTTAATTTTGTGCAAAAATTACATCTGTTGTTAGCGAGCATTCAGAGCTGGCAACAAACATAATGGGCTTCTACCCTTGCAAGAAGCACTTGGAGTACACCTGCTTAGGGAAGCCCTCACTGCCTTCCTATATTTCTTGTTTGTCTAATTTTTTTGTTTTTCTTATTTTAAATATCCTCCCATCCTCAGCTCCAATTTATTTTTTGGTCAGTTATATTTTGGAGAGGATATCACTGAGCTAATGTGGTAATTGAACAATGGAAGCAAATGTAAGTAATATTGATCCCTGGCATCAACACAGGCATTTTAGCAAATCTTTAACCCCTTAAGGACCAAACTTCTGGGATAAAAGGAAATCATGACATGTCACACATGTCATGTGTCCTTAAGGGGTTAAATTACCTTCTTAGAAGGGTGTCCAAATAATTTAATGCATAGTAACATCTATGAGAAACACATAATTCTGGAATAAATTGGTTAAAATACAATAGTGCACAACATATGTCAAGATATTTTACTATGGACTTCTGTAAAGAGTTTTGAATATTTCGTTTATAAATGTGAATTTTAAAATGTTGGGGTGCATCATTTCTGATATGTTCAGCCAAAAATCTGGAATTTCAGGGTACTCTGAAATGGTATAGAAATTAGGTATGTGAGCAACAAAAGATTAGAAAAATATAAACTACATAAACAGTGATATTAATTTCAACTCCTCGGACTTGGGTTGCCAGATAAGCAGTCAATTTAGGTATAACTTTATGCAAAACACATACTTCAAGGTTGTATTTAAACTACCACAGCCCTGTAACATGTGTTTATGTAATAACGAATTCAATTCATAATATGACATTGCTGCCTGGAACCTATAAATATGAAGTTATGGAATAAATGGTACTAAGAAATTATTCATTTGGGAGCCTCATTAAATAAAATGAACAATAAGGAAGCTTAACCAACAGTACAGATCAGAATTTCTTACAAATCAGGATTTTATGATTTCCAAAAAAATCACCTAGGCTAGAGGAGTTGATTAGAATCATTGATTGTTAATTTTGAGTTACCTGAATGCTTATTCTTCCATAATTAGTCATGTAATGAACATATATTGATAAATATGCATGAGGAGTTTGTTTAAAAATGGGCCTTTAGAAACTAGTTTTTAAGTATATCCTGGGCCATCCTACCACAACTGATTAAAATACTTACAGGAGATGCACTTACTTCCATCCAAGTAAG